ATGTCCGGATCGGATGCTGGAACAACTTTACTTTACTCATCAAATTGATGATCAATGCAGCAGAGCGGGTGATGGAGGGGGTAGACCCTACTTCTTGTCTTTCCCTCTTTTGTTTCTGTCCGTCTGCCTTACCTTTCACATGTTATTAAATGACCGTGTCTATGTGTTTATATTAGTCAAACAAACAAACACAGATACAAACAAATAAACAAACAAATAATCAAGCTAGGCGTTGCCAGTATACAATAGGTCAGAACATTATATAGTTTTTTTAAGGACATTGAGCGGTTGAATTTGAGGGGAGGAGGGGGAGGGGAGGGGAGAATAGTCGCGAATCCCACTTCTCCACTCTCCCTTTGGTGTCTCTGTCTATCGTTCTCGCCTTTTCTGGCACTAAATAACAGCCATTATATCGATGCGCCTCTCTTTGTTAAAACAAAAGTAAATTTATTTTTGTATGATATGTTCCCTTTTATTTAGAGCATCTTGCCCATAAGTTCACATCATACATAACGTTTACCTGTCGGAAAACCAAGACGAGCAATCTTTAAGCTCAGCTAGTACCGTACCAAATTGAGGGCAAGCGAGGCAGGGGAAGGGAAACCTAAACAAATGGGTAACAGTGAAAGATCAGGGAAACGTAGATTTTTTTTTAGAGCATCCGAGCAAAGTAATGAATGGAGAACCATGATCACCTATGTCAGTCGCAGATCTCGCACTGGATGATGATGAGTACCGTAGCCTACCACTTTCGATTATCCCAAATTAGGTGTACTTTGTCTTACTACTTAGGTTATTTTTAAGCAGGTGGTTAGTAGAGGGGACCACTGCTTGGTCTTATTTCTCTTCTTCCTTATGTTGTTTTTGTCTGTTTGTATTGACTTTTGCTTGCACTGAACGGCCTATATTGCGTCGATGTGCTTCTCTTTACATCTCCTGCCCCCCCCCTCTGTTTCTCTCTCACTCTATCTGTCTATCTATCTCTTTATCTATCTATCTATCTATCTATCTATCTATCTATCTATCTATCTATCTATCTATCACTTTCTTTCTCCCCTGTCTGTCTGTCTGTCTGTCTGTCTGTCTGTCTGTCTGTCTGTCTGTCTGTCTCTCTCTCTCTCTCTCTCTCTCTCTCTCTCTCTCTCTCTCTCTCTCTTTCGTCTTTATTTTTCTTTACTTCATCCGAAAAAAGCAAACAAAATTATACACAACGTGTACACTTCACCGACTTTACCCATGTTTGTGTAGCCCAACCTCACACACCTCTTCCTTTACCGTCCCATCAACATCTGCGTTCATCCACGCTGGTGACAGACCTCGCTGTTTTATAGAGTTTCCTCTATGTATCAAGTGGGTTCTGAACCACACTCACACCCTTGTTCACGCCACTAGACAAACACAAAACTGTCTTTTATTGCCACCCCTGGCCCGCAGCATGGCCACTTCCCACGGAGCAGTCAGGTAGTGGAGAATCTTTGGTTGGAGGGCACCACTGATGGTAAAGGTAGCCTAAGTCCAGCTTACTTTACGCACAGTTCACACTGTCAATCGCATTCATCGGATGGACTGAGTCGGAGCCAGACTGACTTTCCGTCATAGACGGGGCAAAGGCTACTGTTCGCTGGTCATTGATATTCCCACGCTGCGTAAATAGATTGAGCGTAGTAATGTTTGTTTGTGGAAACTGACAGCGATCTCATGGAAATCGATCAGCGTCGATTTTTAGCTCGGTCCAGACCTAAATGACCGGAATTAATCAAACGCTCACTGAGAACAAATGGGATATCTCTAGCCAATATGGAGGTTTTAAAAACGGATTTGGGGGGGGGGGGGGGTCTTATGTGTCTGCTGAATGATCTGTCTAAAGTTTAGCTCGTTTGGCTTGTACCCAAAACCTAGTACAAGTCATTAATACGTCGGAATTCAACTAGGTCTATGCACTAAATTTGAGTGCAGCCTTCCAAATCAAAGACGTTTGTTTTTTCAAAGATGCCGGTCCAATCAGTCAAACTGTGCCAAAACAGTAGCTGCTTTTGTCTCATACGTGAGGGAAAATCTGGCTGGCCACGACTCAGCCCAATGAATCCGATTAGCAGTGTGCACCGGGTATTATACTGGTGGTCGGCGGGTGTTCTGGTGTTGTTTGCTCCTTCTTTCCTACAACCCCCCCCCCCTAGGGGGAGGTACTACTGACTGGAGTGTCTTTAGGCCATTCTCAAAGGGGGGACATTAACATTATGCACAGTAAAATTGTAAATGTGCTGATTCATCAGTGTCATGCTCATAATTGTGCTTGAACTGCAACGGGGAACTGCTGTTTCTTTCCTGTTTCACTCATTTTTACTCTACTACTTTTGTATGTTTGTCACACGCTTGTGACCCTCTATTTCCGGGGTGCTTTGATAGTCGAAGCAGACTTTGTGCTTGTGAAGCAAAAGAGGTGAGCAGAGTAAGCTTGATTCCCTGAAAGAACTTCTCTGTTGACATCCACCCCTTGGCGATCACATGACCTTATGCAGTTGCGAGTGCCGTAAACCTTCTACTAAAACTAAACTAAACTAGATCTATCAAATATCTGTCATCTTTAGCCTCCTCCTTTACTCCGCATGTTACGTTACTCTCTAGTAACGCTTCTAATCTTGGACACTTATATTACCTAAATTGTGTTCCAAGTAGGCCTACCGTAAATCTCGTACAAGTACAAAGACTAAAATCAAAACCCAGAGTACATTGGCAGGTGCTGGAAGGGCGAGACTAGTAGGTCCTTCTTCTTTTCTCTTCCTCTGATATTTTAGTCTGTCTTGTCTTTTCTCTGCAC